AGCCGGAGAGTAATCTGCTGAAGAAGGGCCGCGGAGGAGGCCGTCAGGATGATGTCGTCGATGTAGAGGAGCAAATATGCAGTCGTGTCTCCGCGATGATAGACGAACAACGATGCATCCGAGCGAGTGACGCTGAAGCCCAGTGTCTGAAGGAACCCGACGATACGCTGGTACCAGGCGCGAGGTGCTTTCTTGAGCCCGTAGAGAGACCGGGACAACAAACACACATGCCCAGGAAGAGATGCGTCGATGAAACCGGTCGGCTGCTCACAGTAAACCTGCTCCTCAAGATGACCGTGAAGGAAGGCGCTGGAGACATCCATCTGATGAACCAGCCAGCCTCGGGAAACTGCCAGCTGGAGAACTGTGCGGATCGTGCCTGGTTTGACAACTGGGGCAAACGTCTCGGTGAAGTCGACTCCAGCACGCTGTTGAAAACCACGGACCACCCAACGAGCCTTGTAGCGCTCAAGTGTACCATTCGAGCGGGTCTTATGGCGAAAGACCAACTTGTCGCTGATGACGTTGGCGCGAGAAGGCCGAGGAACCAATGTCCAGGTACGGTTCTGCTGAAGAGCGTCGAACTCTTCCTGCATCGCGGCAAGCCAGTGAGGATCATGAAGGGCTGCGCGAGTGGAGGCAGGGATCGGTGACGGCTCAGTGGTGGAGGCGGCGAGAAGATACTCGTCGCTGGAGTACCGTAGACTCGGGCGATGAACGTCAGCTCGAGCCCGAGTGATGGGGCGAGATGGCAACTCGACGACCGGCGAGGCGGTCGGCGAGGCAGCCGGTGAGATGGCCGGTGAAGAAGTGGCGCCCGAGGCCACCGAAGCGCCCATGCCCGCGGCGTAGGGGGCGGGGGTGGCGGGCGAGGCAGGGGTGTCGCCTGAGGCACTTGAGGCGGCGGGGCCGGCCAAGACAGCCAGCGAAGATGCCGGCGAAGCAGTGGCTGTCGGCAAGGCGGGCGATGCCGAGGCCCCTGACGGAGTCGGCGAGGACGTCGTAGGGACGCGAGTCGCAGCTCGTCCCACAGCGGGAGAAGCCGAAGTCCGAAGGCGGTCCAAGAATCGAGCGGGGTCGTCCACCTAACAGGGTCGCTGGAAGAGCCAAGGGAGGCCATAGCAGCGGGTCAGCGGCGGCTAGGGCAAGAAAAAGAAAACAGCGGCGGCTAACAAAGTACACGGGCACGTATAAGCTAGCAAGCACCCAGACACACAACTGGATGGATTCGGTGATCTGCTAGTAAGCACCCAGGCACACAGTTAGATGGATTTGACTAGCGATCTGGTTGACTAGGTAGCGATCGGGCTGGGTGAGAAGAAGTGCAGCGATGACAGGAGGTGCGGCGGCTACGAAGGAAGGTGAGATGCGACGGCGGCAAGGAGTGCGGCGGCAGCGTGAAGAGGATGGCGCGGCGACGGCAAGACCTGCGGCGGCAGCGCGAGGAGGATGGCGCGGCGGCGGCAAGGACCTGCGGTGGGGGCGGCTAGAGGAGCGAAAGCTAGGGCTAGGATCGACGTGCTAAACTGATATCATGTAGAAGGAAAAGAATAGGATGTGCAACACAATGTATTGATTGCTGCATCAGGCACGTATACATGAGTACAGAAAGGGGCCACAATCTCAACTATACAGAGAAACTAGGAGGTGAGCCCAAGACACAATATACACATACACAATATATTCGACATACAAAGAATATCTTTCATGGTCTAAAACCAAACTGTAAACCGGTGATCCAACCTATAAATATTCGGCCGTTTCTATTTAAACTATGATGATGAGTTTTTTCCCCTCATCAAAAAATAAATATAGATGATGATGAGTTTTTTTGACTAGCCACAATGGATAGTAACATACACTAATAACATACACATATCTCTAGACTGTGTTACTATCTTCATAGTGGGTAGTAACTTAAGTGTGATAACATGCAAAGATTCATTTATTAGGTTATAGACTCATATTGCATTGGGATATGTGATGTTACAGTAACTAGCTAAGTTACTACAACCACCTTTCTCTTTATTAACTCATTGCCACATAAGCAAATTTGCTGAGTTGGACTTGATGTTACTGCTGAAGTTACTCCCACTATGGCTTACCCGTACTATAATGATGACGAAGGCATGTTGTTGGGCGGCAGGTCGGCAGGCCTGTTGGAGATTAACATTAAATTTGGCCGTGCCCATGTTGGCTCTGCTTGGACGTAGACCGCCAAGACGATCTGAGGCCAACTCCACCGCGCGACCCTATCCTGTCTGCCCCCGTCCGTTTGGGGTAAAATAGACAAACGAGACGGCCCAGTGTGCGGGCGCAAACGGACTTTTGTCCGCTTTGTGTCCGCTTTCGACCCATCCTCGGCCCAAGTTTGCGCCGGTTTTGGGGTGAAACGGACAGCACGTGGACGGGCAGGACGCGCGCGCTTGTCCTCCCCTGGCCCGCCTGTCGGTGGGAGAAACCAAAACCCCCCACACCCATTTGCCGCCATTTCCCCCAAACCCTTCCATGTCCCTCCCGCCGCCCCTCTCTCCCCCGGCCATGGCCGACGCCCCGCCGAGTTCCGGCGGCCTGGCCGTCGACCCGCCGAGTTCCGGCGGCCTGGCTGTCGACCCGCCCGCAAAGGTGAAGAAGAAGGCGCCAAGGAAGCCGTGGTCGAAGTGCACGCCGGAGAAGATCGCCAAATTGGACGCGGAATCGGCGAAGAGGAGGGAACAGAGAGCGGTCGTCAAGGTCAATGGCGCCGCGGCCAAGTTCGCCGCCCAGCGCGAGGAGCTGGAGGTCGCGCGGCGCAAGGCCGCTGCCGACGAGAAGGAGGACCTCGTCAATAAAGCGCACGCCATCCTGATGCTTGGCATGGGCCGTCCGGCCGGGTTCCCTGCAGCTGCCGTCGGCCCGGCGAGCAGAGGCTCGTCGGTCGCCCGGCCTACGCACTGCCAGTCGCTGACGTCGCGCGCCGCGCCCATGTCGCCCGGCTTTCCTCCGCCAAGGCACGATGACCAGACCCGTTTCTCGGCGTCGCCGGACGTGGGCTTGTTCGCACCGTCCACACCGCGCACCGCGACCGTCATCGACCTCAACGTCACGCCTGGGTCCAGCAGCGGCGGCCGTCCGTCCGTCGAGATGCAAAGAAAGCAGGCACGGGCACCATGCCGGCCCCCCGCGTCTTGTTTGACGGAATGCCAACCCCAACGCCAACGGTCGACGACCCCTTCCACAACCAGTACATGGAGGACGTGATCTTTGAGGGTGGGCATGGCCGTGCCTACGACCCCGAGGAGACCCAAAGTCAGGATGGCCACGCCGAGTACGTGCCCAATGAAGAGGCCGACGACCGTGCTTACTACAACCATGGTGACTCGTGGCATGAAGATGATGACATCTATGTCGAAGGTGATGAAGAAGAAGGCAATGCCGTTGATATTAGTGGCGAGCCATTGTTCATCGACGAGCTCACCCAAAGAGCGGAAGCACAAAAAAAGAGGAAGAGCATTCGCACGGGCTCATACACACAAGATGATGACAAGTTGATTTGCCAAGCTTGGATGGAGACTAGCCAAGATCCGAGGACCGACGCGCAACAAAAGGGCATTGTATTTTGGACGAGAGTCCACAAAACATTTCATAAAAGGAAGATGTTTGAGCCCTACCAATTTACAAGCAATCGTGGCATTGGCTCGATTCAAAAGAAATGGTTGTTCATCCAACAAGAGTGCAACAAGTATTGCGCCGCATTAGAGAGCGTTGAAGCACGGCCCATGAGTGGTCTCGACGTTGGGGACATGGTATGCTCTCCTCTTCCTAGCCCTTTCCTTGCTACGGCCATGACACTTCGGCCGTGTATATGTTTGCATGTTCACTTGTTGTTGATCATGTGATTGAGGCATTTCAATCTTTGGAGGCATTCAAGGCCCGGCACAATGACAATCCATTCACTCTTACGCATTGTTGGACGATTATCAACAATTGCCCTAAGTTCAAGGACCAATACCATGAACTACAAAGGAAGAGAGGACTAAAGACGGCCAAGTATGCCGGAGGTGGAGATGGCGAGGCCTTGAAGAAGCCGAGGGGCAAGACCAACTCCAAGGTTGATGACATACGTGATGCCTCATCCATGGCATTGCATGACACTTTGCATGACATGATGTCCCAAAAAGATGTGAGGGACGAGAAGAAGCGGCAAAGCAAGGAGAAGCAAATGAAGCAATACCTGAACCTTCAAACAAAGAAGCTTGAGATGGAGGAGGCGGTCAAAAGGAGGAAGATCGAAATGAAGGAGGCGACCCGGCAAAGACAGCTCGACATCGAGGCCGACAACGTCAAGGCCAGGCAGAGGCAGCTCGACATCGAGGTCACGAACGCCGCCACCAAAGCGAAGGAGGTGGCTCTTGCGATCATGAGCGTGGACTTGTCAAAGATGAGCGACAAGACGAGGCCTGGTTCGAGGCCAAGCAGAATGAGATGCTCGAAGTCGAAGGCCTGAACTAGGTCGTCCGATCGGCCGTGGCCATTCTTTTTGGATGCTGGCATGGGTGTCGCGTCCCTGCTGGGCCGCTGGCTGTGTGCCGGCGAGAAATATTCATTTTGGTGGCCGGCTGTATTGCCGGCCGCTGCCTGCGTTGCCGGCGAGGACAATTATTCATTTTGGAGGCTGGCTGTGTTGTCGGCCGCTGGCTGATGCCGGCAATGGACGTGTAGGCCGCTGACCTAAACTAGGACTTGGCATTTGAAACGTTCATTTGATTTTTTAAATAGACACGAACAGAATGAGGCAAATGGATGCGGCCACGTGCGCCCAGCACGATCACCGCATCCCAGGACATGTCCGGACACGATCTTAAATTCCATCTCAAACGGACGAAATTCGGACAAAGCGATGGAGTTGGCCTGACTCCTCGAAAAAAAACACCTGCTCGCGAGGAGGCCAAACAAGTCTCTGCACCGGAGCAGGAACCGAGAGAGAGAGAGTCCACTGCCCGTCTGCGCCAAAGCCCCGCATGGAGATCCTCCAACAAGGTGAGAGTTCTCGCTCCTCTCCCCGCAGACAGCACCCCGGTGGTTTCATTTTGTCGGTGGATCCCTTCCCTTGGTTCCGGGGCTTCTTGGTTTTGATCCGCTTAGCGCGTCCATCCCTGCCTTCTTGCGAATCTCGATTCCAGGAATGGAATAGGCAGCAGAATACGCGGATCCCTGCATCTGCCCCTTGCTCAACGGACGCCGCCCCATCGCCGTCTCCCGATTTCAGTGCCACCCCGTCGCCGTCTTCCCTATTTCACCGCCGCCGGCTTCCGATTTCGCTGCCGCCCGTGCACCAACAGCACGGTCGCCGTGGCCAATATGCACTGATTCAGCTGTGCCCGCCGCTCACTCTCCAGGAGGCTGTGTTCGTCGCCGCTGGCATCTGGATGCGGTGGCCTGCTCTTGCTCTGTCTCTGCTCTTGGGGTTCCCTCGGCACCGCGCTCTGGTTTGCTGTGTGCGGCGACGGCGATGGCATGGGCGAATTGGCAATTAGGCAGTGTTTCGGTGAAGTTCTTGGTAGTGTTTTCTCGTGTCAGTACCTGGCTACCTGCAAATGCAATTTACTGTCCATCAAAACATCGTTTTACAAGGAATGGAAATACACATGCTATTGGATGTTTTTTTAATATACCCTGTATACACTTTACAGTGTCAAGACTTACTTGTCTCGCAAACGGGACCTTATTTGTTGTATTGAGTGCTCATATGCTTGTGGCGGAAAGTAGTACATTTACAGAGTGATGCAGAGAATTTCTATGCCAATTCTACTAACTGCACTTATATAAGTGCCTCATGAAAATTGGAAGCAAGTTTGATGTGGGAAACGAGGAATAGCCTGTTCGGCTAGTAGCTGTGTCATGCTATGGTTTGCCCTGACTTCGCAAAAAATAAATAAATGGTTTGCCCTGCATACATCCCTTGGTTTGCCCAGGACTCAAACCTGAAACAGTCAGATGGAGTAGATAATTCTTCCTTGTGTGCCAGCGCTACTACTTGATTGTGTGCCAGCATTCAGCTTTGAGTCATAGCTGATTCTCAATTTGATGCACTTGTTCCAGGTGCTAAAGCCATAGTACCTCAACATTGTTGGAAAGAAGCTGAGCTTAGTCAGTCTGAATGGAACAATCTAAGCTGTAGTGTAAATCTTTTGCTTATGCAGTTATGCTCATTTCTGGTGGTACCCAGTTTCTAGATCCACTTCAGGCAACATGGTAGCTTTGTCCTTTAAAATTATTTGTGGTGGGTGGGGGTATAAGCGGAGTCGGTATTCCCTACTGTCTGTTTCGCCGACAGCTTCTGGATTTGATATGGTTTAGTGCAATTACTATCCAGCACTATCCTTGTCCGGTTCAGCTTCCCACGTATGCACATTTTATTTTTATTTAAGCATGTAGACATTAGCCCCTTTATGGTTTGTACGATTACTCGTACAAATTCTTAATCGAAAATTTCCCAAAGCAGATGGTTCCTAAGAATCCGAAGGGTTGAAACTTCCACGAAAAACTTCGAATTGGGAGTAAAAAAGTACCATTGGGCTGTGGATGAGCTCTCAGCTCAGTGTTCAGAGTGCAGTGCTGCCTCCTAGCCTGTGCGGGTTCGAACCTCGGTTCTTACACGGGTCTCACATCTCCTTCTTTATTAAAAATCAGTAGGGGCTTCTCCCCACTACTGGTCTAGTTTTTTTTTTCATTGGGCTTTGGTGTTTGTGCTTCCATGAAATGTCTGTTGAAGTTTTGTGTGGTTGTATTGGCCTGACGCGACGATGAGATAAATAGAAGCATAAAAAAGGGCAGCCCAGTGCATGTAGCTCCCGCTTCCGCAAGGTCCAGGGAAGGGTCCGACCACTTTGGGTCTATAGTACGCAGCCTTTCCCTCGGTTCTTACATGGGTCTCACATCTCCTTCTTTATTAAAAATCAGCAGGGGCTTCTCCCCCTACTAGTCTAGTTTTTTCTTCATTGGGCTTTGGGTGTTTGTGCTTCCATAAAATGTCTGTTATCGAAAAAGGCTTTCACCCCGCTTTATATATAAAGCAATGATCAACCACAGCCCAAGTACAAACGCACCCCATGACAACACATACACACACCCAAGGCGGGATACATAGGCGCTAAGCGCAGCAACACCACCCCTAACACTACAAGAGCAATCGTGGTCCTCCACCGTGAACACGCCACCGCGAAGAGATGAAGCCGCATATGACGAACCGTGTGCTGCAAGGCGGCGCCTCCAAGAAGGTTACGACGCCAACGCGCCGCCACTGCCCGACCCGGAGGTCAGAGTTTCCCCTGGAGCAACACGATGACCGATGAGAGCCGCGACGACGCCTTCAAGAAGGGAACGCGCTACGCCGCCGCCGGTCCGTCCGAAGATAGAACAGGTTTTCACCCCAGCCAGCACTCACTGTCATCAAACGCCACACCCCGTCCACCATGACGCCCACACGGCCATGGTCACCGGGCAGCACCAAGCCACGGGCTCTACCCATGAGCACCGTGCTACCACCACCAGGGCCGCCGCCCCGGCATCCAAGACCTTGACACCACCTCACCCGAGGCCCGTCACTACCCCAACCAAAGAGACGAGTGGAAAGGCCTTGCCTTTCACACCCCTGGGCGGCCCGAACGCCGAGACCCAAAAGGCCGACCAAAATTGGCCTCCATCGACCCGTCCAGACGCCGGGCACGAGACGAGCTCGGTCCTGCTGTTGGGCGCGAGACGAGCTCTGTCCCGCAGCCACGGGCGTGAGACGAGCAATGGACTGCAGCTGGGAGCGGGCCAGCCCTTCGACGGAGGTACAGCCCGGATGACGAGGAGAGGAATCGAAGGCGACACAGGCCGCTCATCGACGGGCTGACGCCGGAGGAGACCAGCCGCCATCGTGAAACGATCCAGGCCACCACCATGAGCTACCACCACACTGTGACAGCCCACATCCACGCCGAGTCCCCGAGGAGCAGCCCCGAGCCACCTTG